CCACAAAATAGAATTTTTAGTATATATATTTTATATGTAAAGGAAAGCGCCCATCAGAACAAACACACCTAGGACACGTGGCCATCCTAATAGGTCCCTGCACACAGCCTCGGCTCTTGGCACTGACCTCAGCCTCGGGGCCAGGGCCAGACACTAGGACAACATTCCTAGGAAAGCGAGAATCCATTTGTTCCAAAAACCAGCAACTCCGCCCCATTCTCCCCGAGTAGCTGAGCTGCAGATCTGATATTGAATATGTTGCTCTTTGCCCAGGTTCTGGTAAACTAAGGTTGTGAAAGGGTTGCCTGAAGATCTATTAAAGTAAATGAGCCAAATACACACAGAATTTAACTTGAAGCAGAAATGGAGATGTTGACCTTCACTTCATTATGACTCTAATAAAAACTGTCACGGGAGCAGCCAGACTGGGTGCGTGTGTGATGCCCAGGGCATGCGCCCACGAACGGAGAAGCAACTTTGAGGTTTTAATAAAAAAAGAACTGATCCTTTTGATAATCATACCTTCCCACTCCTAAGGCTGGAAGCTCATTTCCAGGCAGGGTGCATCAGGCAGAGACTTCTACTTACCAGAGAGACGACTCTTGAGCTTCATTTTACTGCCACCCTGTTTGGGACTCTCCAAGTTCCCCTTGGATTCTTCAGGGCCACACAAATCTTGGGGCTCTTCTGTCCCAGGCATCTGAAATGCAGAGAGCACAAAGCTGATGGGAGGCACTCAGGCAAGCCCTTCCTGGGTCAGCAGTACATCTGTCACATGAGGAAAAGGTTCATGGGATCCAGCACAGCCCTTCAGATCACCTTGTGCTGGCGAATTCCTCCTGAGCATGCATCTTACAGCACAGCACAAAAAATCAGGAAAGGGCCTAAGAGTCACTGAGTTTCTTGAGGAAACTTCGTCAAAGTCACCCAGGAGGTCAGAAAGCCACAAACAAGAGCCCAGATCTCTTGACTTAAAGGGTCACAGCTCTTCTGTAAATGCAAGTTGCAACAGATATTTAACACTGGAAATTTAAACTCAATTCTAGGTTATTAAAATACAGCAAAATACTTTGTTTGCATATAGAAATGCAACTGATTTTTGTATATAGATTTTGTATTTGACATTTCCCTGTGTTTATTCATTATTTCTATTACTTTTTTGGTAGAGTCTTTGGTGCTCTAAGTATATTAACATGTCATCTGCAAATAGTGACAATTTCACTTCTTTTAAAATTTGGTCTCCTTTTATATCTTTTCCTTGCCTAACTGCTTTGGCTGGGATTCCTATGTATATAGCAGCACTGTCCACAATTGCCAAGTCATGGAGCCAACCTAAGTGTCCTTCAATGGTGAATGGGCAAAGAAATATAATGGACCATATACTCAATGGAATATTATGCAACAGTGAAAAGAGCAACTAATGGCTTTAGGGATAAAATGGATAGACCTTGACATGATTATGTTAAGTGAAGTAGGTCAGATAAAGTGAAAACCTACTTGAATGTACATGGTCCTCTTTGAAAAGCAGTGTGGTTTCTCAAAAGAAAAAGATGCATCTGCCACATGACCCAGCAATTCCACTCCTAGGCATCTACTAAAACATACAAAAACACTAATTCAAAAGGAAACTTATATTCCCATGTTTACTGCAACACTATTTATAACAGCCAAGGTATGGGAACTATCTAAGTGCCCAAAACCAGATGAGTAGATTAAGATGATGTGGTTTATACACAATGGAATACTACTCAGCGATAAAAAGAGATAAAGTAGGCCATTTGCAGCAACCTGGATAGAGAAGGAAAGAATTATGCTAAGTGAATAAGCCAGAAAGAGAAAGATAGATACCAGATGGTGTCTTTACAGGTGAAATATAAAAACACTAAGCAAAGGGTTAAAGATGAGCTTTAAAACTGACCATAGGTCTGTAGCTTTCGGAGGGGTGTGAAGAGGGGTGAGAGTGGGAGAAGGAGAGAGCACAGTGGACTTTGGTGGGGGCCTCTGGGGGCATCTGTGGTGGGAATGCTACTGTGCCTTCCCCCGGGGGAGTTCCTATACTGTCAAGTCACTGGCAAGGACACGGAACAATGGTCCTTCAATAACAATAAATAGAGAAAAAGTAAAATAAATCTGCCCAGGTCCTGAGTGTAACTGGAGGGCCAGGCAGTGCAGGAGGGAGCTGCTGGTTCACAGCAGAGACAGCAGCCCCC